TAGGAACTTGGGATAGAATGGAGAACAATAAACAAGGTCCCTGCCATTCAAGCGCATACTTTCTAGTTGGGGAAAGAGATAATCAGAAATAAAACAAATATAAAATCATTTCTGTTCACCATAAATGCTTTAATGAAGAGTAAGCCGGTTACGTGAATAGAGTGACAAAGAGTGGGAGTATTTTAAATAGAGTGTTCAAAGGTCGTTCTCTAAATATATGATACTTGAACAGAGAACCAACTGATGAGGAACCAGTCACTGAAGACCTGGAGAAAGGGCATCCGAGCCAACAACAAATTTAGGTCCAAAGGGAGAAGAAGCTTGGAGTGTTATTTGAAAGATTGTAAGAAGGTCAGTGTAGTGAGAGGGGAGCTGATGAGAATTGTAGAACATCAAATCAGAGAAGGACACAAGGAGATGAGGCAAGCAGTGGTCAGCTCTTATAAAACCAGATCCTGAGTGCAATGGAAAGCTACTGGAGTGTTTTAAGCAGAAGACAAAAGTGACTTGATTTACAGTTTAAAAAGATATCAATGAAATAGAATCGAGAGCCAAGAAATAAATCAGTATTTCACAGTGGAATCAAGAATACTCAATAGAGGAAAGATAGTCTTCAAGAAATGGTGCTGGAAAAACAAGATATGCAAATACAAAAGAATGAAATTGGACCCCGATCTTACACTACTCACAAAAACTAACTAAATATACATTAAAGACTTAAATGTAAGATCTGAAAACATAAAACTCCTAGAAGAAAACATAGGGGAAAAGCTCCTTGATATTGGTCTTAGCAATGATTTTTTTTGATATGACAACAAAAGTAAAGGCAATATATGTAAAAATAAGCAGTTGGACTACATCAAAATAAAAAGCTTCTACACAGCAAAAGAAACAATCAACAGAATGAAAATGCAACCTGTAGAATGGGAGAAAATATTTGCAAACTACGTATCTGATAAGAAGTTAATATCAAAAATATATAAAGAACTCATACAACTCGCTAGCAAAAAAAAAAGGAACCAAATAATCTGATATAAAAATGGGCAGAGGACCTGAATAAACATTTTATCCAAAGGCATATAAATGGTCAACAGGTACATGAAAATATGCTTACCATCACTAGTCATCAGGGAAATGCAAATCAAAACCACAATGAGATATTACTTCCCACCTGTTAGGATGACTATTATAAAAAAGACAAGAGATAACAACTGTTGTTGAGGATGTGGAGTAAAGGAAAACCTAATGCACTTTTGGTGGGAATGTAAATTGGTGCAGCCACTATAGAAAACAGTATGGAGGTTCCTGAAAAATTAAAAATAGAACTACCGTATGATCCAGCAATCCCACTTCTGGATATATATCCGAAGGAAATGAAATCACTATATTGAAGAGAGGTCTGCAACCCCACATTTATTGCATTATTCACAATAGCTAAGACATGGAAACAACATAAGTGTCCACTGATAGATGAATAAAGAAAATATGATATATATAAGTTATATATATGTATGTTGTATATATTATATATATTTTACATTTTATATGTATATATATATTTTTTTAACCACAATAAAGAAGGAAATCCTGCATTTGTGACAACATGGATGGACCTTGAGGACATTATCCTGGGTGAACTAAGGAAAAAAAGATAAAAACTGTATGATCTCACTTATATGTGAAATCTTTAAAAAACAAGTGAAATTCACATAGAAACAGAGTAGAATGGTGGTTGGTGAGGGGCAGAAGAGTTGGGGAAATGGTGAGATGTTGGTACAGACTTCTAGTTATAAGATGAATAAGTTCTAGGGATCTAATACATGGTGACTGCTATATTGTGTACTTGAAAGTTGCTAAGAGAATAGATCTTAAATGTTCTCACCACACTCTTTCACACACACGCACGCGCACACACGCACACACACTTGTAATTATGTGGGTTGATGGATGTGTTAACCTTATTGTGGTAATCATTTAACAATATATACATATTATCAAATTATCACATTATATACTTTAAACTTACACAGTGTTTTATCTCAATTATTTCTCAATAAAGCTGGGAAAAAAAGATAATTCCAGCTGCCATGTGGAATGTGGACTCTATGGAGAAAGGTAGAAGCATGGAGAAAGTTAACAGGCAGTTGGCAGATTTACTGGTATCTTGGATTTGGGAGGTTATGGAGGAAGAGATGAGATTGATCATAGTGAGGATAGATTTAGAAAGTAAAATTTCTGTGTTCCTTCACATGGAGAGATTCTCCATTCAGGGCTAAAGTTTGGAGTTTCTGTATTTTATTTTTATAAGGGATATCATTCCCTTTTATAAGCTTATTTTAAATGTCATTTACATTCCCTTTTATAAGCTTATTTTAAATGTCATTTATAAATAATGGCAAACTTTTGAAATAAGGTAAAAGATAGTTGGTTTCTTTTAAATGTCTAATATTCATGTTCCTTAGAGAAGATAAATTTACATTTTATCTAGGATTTAATGAAATCCTTTATCATTTGTGCCTGTTAAAGTTTCTGGTTAGAATCCTGTAGCCCAGATAGTGAAGAAGATAGTCTTCAATAAATGGTGCTGGGAAAACTAGATATTTAAATGCAAAAGAATGAAATTGGACCCCTATCTTATAATATTTATAGAAGTTACATAGAACCTTCTACCAATACTCTGCTTTATTCCTTTCCTGCTTTTCTATCGACTCCCTTTTTGGACTCTGTTCCATCTTTTTCCCTCAGGCATACAATTATCCAAGCTAGCTGTAATGATGTGAAAGATCACCACACAATTTGTACTGAGGAATGGGTTTTGCTGGTCCAAGCATTCCCAGAAGAAGGCTACGTGATAAAGAGCACACCATTTACCTCTCTGAGAATTGGTTTTCTAATAATTAAAATGAAGAGATTGGACTAGATAATCCTAAAAATTCTTTTCACTTCCAAGATTTTAAGATTGTCTCTCTTCTGATTTTCATATGTTGTTGATATAATCCATTACTTGCTTTAATTAATTACACAATGTTATATACATCAGCCATTTTTATTCTGATGATTCCCAAATGTATATCTCAAGTTCAAGACTCGCTCATGAAGTCCATTCTCATGTAACAAATGGATTCCTGAACATCTCTACCTGGACATTGCATAAGCACCTTGAACACTTTATGTCCAACATGACTCATTAACTTTCCCCATCAACTTGCTACTTTTTCTGTATGCTTTCCTCACATTGTCTAGATCTCTCTCTCTTTGACTGAGTCTTCTACTCCACCCTTCTTGCAAATAACCATCTACTTACTTATCTACTTATGAATCTACAAGACTCAGCTCCAGTCACCTCCTTATGCAAAATTTTTCTAAAGCCCACTTCCTCTGCATGTAGAATTTTTTACTGCCTGTGGTATCCTGATTAGTATCAGCACCTGCATGAGTTTGTTCACCTGTTTATGTGTCTACATTTTTAAACTCCATGAGGGCAAGTATAGTTTCTTATTTCCTTGTGATTCTACCCTCAGCTTAGAATGTATCACAGTAGATGATTAACAAATATATAATGAATGAGTAAAAATGAAAATTCTCTGATCTGAGAATTGCTCATGTCCCAGTTTCTTATCTGGAATATGTTCTCCCACCAATAGTCTCTTCAAGACAGGGGGAAGCCATTGGCTTTCTTGCTTTTTTCACCTGTTTACCAGTTTATGAAGACTCATATAAATGCCAACCTCCGTTTGTTGGCACACATTATTCTGTGAGAATTCAGTGCCCTTTTCATATGTATTCTGTCTTGCAGGGTGCAGAGACCACATTTTCTCTTTCTTTCCTCTCTTCCCTGAGGTTGAGATTAGAATAGTGATGTCCAGCCAGCTTTTAATATATGTTCATTCCTTGAAGCCACATTTGCCTTAGTTCCCTCTGGTAAACAACTAAAATTTCTTCAACGTAGACATTTATATATAAACCAATTTCATCATGAGCACTTAATAAATACATTTCCGGCTTCTCAAAATGCTAATGAAATTTAGACCTGATACTTAGCTCTCATTCAGTATACTTGGGTGTATAAGCTGTCAGATTTGAGTGGCTGAATTTTTTATCAGCATCATCTTAAAATACCTCCTACTCCCTGACCAGGCTGGAAGAAATTAACCAAGGTGATTTATTTCAGCAGGGTCAAGAAACCATCTGTGACTTGTAAAAATGATAGGATCAGCTTTCCTTCCCATTATGTTTTTAAAACTTACTATTACTAGGGTAATTAACATGAAACTTACAGACAAGTCAGAAAGAAGTTTGCCTTATAAGAGAAGTTTCTTTCTCTGAGGTCACAAATCCTTTAAGACTTCTGAGATAACTAACTTTCTCAGGTCTGCTCTCTACTTTCTTTTCTTGAGTGGGTAGTACTTTGTCCCTCCCATGGCCATTTTCTTCCCCCTCCCAGTCTTCCTGACATTTCTTGATAGAGTCAGGAATAGCACTTTGTCAGTTAATTTATCTTTGAAAAGATCACAGATTGAAAGTGATGCAGAGCTAGTTCAAACCAAATAACCATTAATACTGACAATAATTATCATTACTCTTTATTAAGCACTTTAAGTGCTAGTTATAGTTACATAACTAATGCATTTAATTCTCAAAACAGCCCTGTAATTTAAGCATCCCATACCAGCCTTTTACAGAAGAGGAAGAGAGGAGAGATTTCCTGAGGTCACACAGTCAGTAGATGGCTGAGTTAAAATTTGAACTCCTGTCCCCACATTTTTTCCATTTTGCCAGTGTTTATAAGTAAATGTGAATGCAGTTGTCCATGTCTTGAATGACAAGGGTTCTTGAGGAGAGGTGCTTAAGACAGATGGTGACCTGTTCAGCAGTAATGTAGCCTGTATTCCTGTTGTCACTTAGTTGGAAGAAGATTCAGATGGCTGAGATGAAACTATGCATGTAATGAATTGAACAGAGGTTTGCCTGACTCGCATGGATGTTTCTTTGCCTTCTAGGAAGATTTCCAACCCGCAGCAGCCTCAGAGACCAACTGGGAATCAGTCACAAGCTCAATCTCAGTAAGTAATTTATTTTTCTGTTGCCTGCAAAGACAACTGTTGGAGTAGTAGCTAAGGTCAACCCTGGGATGACTTCAGCTGCATGAAGTATTTATGGCTGGACCCAAAGCCAGGTCTCAAACATGATGTGTTCTTCCAATTCTTTTAGGTTATAGTGGGCTATGTCAGATGCCCTTTTTTCTCTTTCAGAAAGGTTTCCTGGAAATGTCAGTACCCCTTGTAGGAACACAGGGTAGACAATGACTTAAATATTTATCAATTTCAAAGCAGAATGTTGCAACTAAAGGACTGTCCAGACATATCAAAGGTGTGAAACAGTTCAGGGCCCAAGCTCAGGTGGGGAAGTTTGAAATAGTTTTTTGAATATTCCAGGGGACGCCGTTAACCTTTGCATTTTCAGGGATCTTTTCAGATGTGAAAAATCCATGTTTATGGTAACATAACTTAAGTGCAAGCCAGGCTTGTGTTCTATTTGGCTTGGAAATAAAACATAACTCACGCTGAAACTATAAAATGGTTCATGCTCCTTTTTTTTTTCCTCCAAATTTAGTCATTTCCCAGTATTCTGTATACTTATCTACTTTGTACAGAAAGAGCAGACTTTGTTTTCACCAATCTTAAGGGTAGCACTTATGTAGCAATAAACTGCAAGATAATAAATGCAGTTGTTCATTAAAAGATTAAGAGCACGGAGAAAGCTTGTCCATGGTTCTAAGGTGGGTTAGTGTGGCTGAGTCAGAGCTGATTTTTTTTTTCCAGAAGTGATGTTCTATTTTTTGTTCTTGGAGGGATTTTTAAAAAATTCCCTCAGATACCAGGATTTCTTCAGCTATGGATTCTGTGACTATTTAATTCACCTGGTGTGGCTGCTGAACTAGAACATGATCTGATCGAGATCAGTGAGGTCTCTAATGGTGATATTAAGAGTATTTTGTTCGTTTCTGATGGTCAAGAATGCATGCCCTGAACCTAGCTGAGTATAGGCAATCATTGTCAGGAAGGTGAAAATTAAAATAAGGCAGGTAATACTGAGGAGCTGGGAGGCTAGGCAAGAGGTTTGGGCAGTTAGCAGCCCAAGACTGACAATTCAAGGTACATGCCAGTGGCAGCTTTTGCCATTCAGGACATAGTGGTCTATTCTGTCAGGAGATCCTCTGGCTTCTCAAGTATCTTATACATGATAGCTCAGGGTTATGTAATCATTCCTGCCCAAAGGGCAGAAATCAAGTTTAAAGGACCCTTCACTGATTCAAGATAATCCAGGCCCTCTTAAAGAGAAGGATTGTCCTGTCCGTTTGGTGCATCTGTGGAAGCTCAGCACTAGGTCCAAATCCATTGGAAACTCTTCTGGGTTGAGTTCCAAGTCCAGGTTCTGCTGAGTCCTCTAGGAAGACCAGGGAGACCTAGCTTCTTTTCTTAGCATTCTGATTTTCAAGAACATCCTGGAGTAGGAGCAAGGGCCCTTGGACCTACCATTTACTTCTGTATAAACCATTCTTTGTTTTTGTTGAAACCGGTTTACAGTTTTCAGAACATTTTTACAGATTTTTATCATTACTTTAAAAGTAATTCACTTAGCTTTAAAATTGATTCTACAAACATAAAACAAAAGCTGAATGAGAACAAATTTACGGTGCAATTGAAAGAGGCACACCCAACTAGTATTTCTCTCAAAAATAGTTCTTATACAATTGCCTCGGAAACAAAAATATTCTCTTGGGTTGATTAGATCACCTAGTCACTCATAAATATTTTCTTAAATATAATTAGTGTTTCAAGTCAAAACTTGAAAAGAGCAGTAAAACTCACACACAAGGACACTTTTACATTTTACGTACGGTTTGGATTTGCTCTTCAGACTAATGTTAGAAGAGACTAGACTCCCTCCTCCTCCTTCCTCGGAGCCATTTAAGTAGCTTATGCTTGTGTCTGAATGGCTTGATTAACATTTCTGCTTTTGTTTCAAAAAAGAGGGAAGAATTTTAATTTCAAAGCTTTCATATGCTGCCATGCACCTAACTTTGGCCAGCTCATTTTGTTCTTAGACCCACATGATACAAAGCTAATTGTAAATCATCTGTTGTGTATGAGCCAGGTAGACTGTAGATCCAGACAATACAAAGTTGAATGGGAATTTGGAATTTTGTTACTGAATCATAAATTTAGCCGCCTTTAGCATAGGATGCCAAGAGGGATCTGAAAATCAGAAGTGATGTGAGACCTTCAGCTTCAGCTTCTATGAGACCACACACACACACATACACACACACACACACAAACACACTCCTAGATTAAGGAGCTGGCCTGATACCTTCAGCAGTCTATCTCATGTCTCACACGCTACTCCCCAAACCCCATGTGCCAC